TCTGTCAGCTAGTTTAAAACAATTTTTGTGAAGTGGGAATACGCATGTTCTTCAGCACATACTTCCGGTCTAAAGTTTTTTTCTTTAGTATGCTCTCTTTTAAAAATTTGAAAAGTGGGTATGCKCCGCATACTCACGCATACCCTCCACTACATCCCTGCATATATTTAATATTTTACACTAATTTTAAGATCCTTATAAGCATTTTAAATGTTATTGTTAATATTTTTAAGTGTTGGTATAAATGTGTAGGCTTGGTAAAAAAGGTTTAAAATGTAATACAATATTTCATACAAGTTGTTCTTATAGTAAGAGGATTTAAAAATAATTAAAAATACAAAATTAAGATTTTTTGCTATAAGCCATGTGGAATCCAATCCACTGAACTAAACACGACCAGACACAGTAGATGCCTACCTATAGCTTATAAAATATGAAGTTCAATAGAAAATTTCACTGAAGTAAGCAAGTTCTGGATAAACGCATATACCCCCCTCCGGCTCCTCCCCTATCCCTTAGACATTTTTTAAATACTATACTGCTACRGGATACGGCCTATARKTGGTGTACTATTYTCTAAATTCTTATGATTTAGGTTCATGCCTCATATAAAAATATCTATTTAAAAATTGTCTGATTATTATTTTGAAACCCACCAATGAMATTATAATTTTGAAGTTTTTAATAGGTTAATAAATCTATTTGGATAGACAGTGAGAACTAGTGACTATTATTGACAAACGCGTTTTAAAATAGTTAGTGTTAATCATATAAGTCGGTCGAAAAGGTGAGTAGATACTGTGTCACCGTTTCGCTGTTCTCGCCCATTTAAAAACGCCTACCGATCACCGTGCGACGTCAGCYATGTATGATAAGGCTTTAAAAAAACTACAGCGCTGATATGAGTAAAATTGTTTGTAATTTTTCTGCCGTTTTTGATAACGACAATTAATTTGTAACGATAAGCGACGGCTTACGGGTTTAATATGTATTGTATTTATTATAGTGATGTAAATACTAAGTACTTACTGCCTAATTAGTTGAAACGTGATGTTTAAAATTATTATAATTATTTAGTGTTTAAATTGTATTGTTCTTGTCAAATTCATGAATTATCACACGTCAGGTTCGACC